TGCATAATGTGATGAAGAGCATGACTATGAATGTTTCATGATTCTGTGTGAGCCTGATGTTTGTGTGTTGTTGGTGAGGGCTACTTACGGAGTATATTTTATATACTCACCCCCCTCTACAAATATTGTTTCAGGTGAAGGATTCGTTGGCAACCATGGTGATGAGACGGATGAGACATTACGAGCGAGGACCATAGGCTGCGTAGTTACTTTTGCTTAGCTTAAGTTTAGATGGTTAAGACCTTATGTTTTGGTCAATAAACTATTTGTTCTTATTTGAATAATTTGGAGATTCCCACTCGTTGTTTACTTTATTTTGGGATAGGTGTTTATTTTAGTTTTCCTCCATTCATTGAGTTTGCCTAGTTGGAATAATAAAATTGCCTCATGAGGTTGTCTATGGATGATGTTTGATTGATATTCTATAGAGTTGATTCATTGTTAAATTGATGATAGGTGAAGCTTTATTTTATATAATTATTTCGCAGGGAGTTGTCATCTCGTGTTTGGGGTTAAGTTTAGACAGGTGGGTAGTTAACGTGACCTAGGAGTGTGTGGGGAGTCCTGGGCGTTACATTAAATAAGTCAAGCCCCCAAAGATAGTTTTCCCTTACCTACATGATCAACTAGTTTGCTACAGTAGGGCACAAGTTGCTAACCTTCATAGATGTCTACTCTTGTTACTACGAAATTGAAAAGCACGAGCCTGGCCAACGATATACATTCTTCGTGACTGACCAAGAGCTTTCTTACTACAAAGTCCCTTTCGATTAAAGAATTTTGGACTTACGAGCACATGGTTAACAAGATGTTTGCAAAACAGGTAAGTCACAACATGGAAGTTTACGTAAACGATATGCTCGTCAAAAGCAAAAGGACAATCTCAATTGGCAACCTCACTGAAGCATTCAACGTCCTTCAAAAAATACCAAATAAAGCTCAATCCCACTAAGTGTGCCTTTAGAGTATCTTCAGGAAAGTTCCTCGGTTTCATGGTCAATGTATGAGGAATCGAAGTCAACCCATAGAAGATCAGCTTGATATGGAGCCTCCAAAGAACCTTAAGCAATTTCAATACTTGAATGGTCGGATTGCTGCCCTCAACAGGTTGGTTTCTCGCTCAACAAACAAACGTCTCCCCTTCTTCAAGGTGTTGAAGACCAAGGGGCAATTTGACTGGACTCCAGGGTGTTAGGTCGTCTTTGAACAACTAATGGCCTACTTGAGCTTGACACCTCTACTTTCCAAGCCAATTCTAGGTACAATCTCTTCCTTTACTAAGCAGTGAGCTTGGCACTCATGAAGCAAAATAGGGACGTCAAAGCCCAATATACTACATAAGTAAAGCAATAACGGAAACTAAAACTCAATATTTGTGCATTGATAAGCTCGCTCCAGCCCTAGTCACCTTAGCTCGACGACTTCATGAGTATTTTGAAGCTCATTCAATTACGATGTTGACAAAATTCCCTCCCCACCAAGTCTTCCACAAGCCATAAACTTCTATAAGAATAGTGAAATAGGCGTTCGAGCTCAGCGATTACGACATCAATCCAGGACTGCAATCAAAGGGCAAGTAGGAACAGACTTCATCACCGAGCTAACGCCTCCGACCAAAACCGATATAAAAACCCCCCAACTATGGACAATGTATGTTGATGGATCTTCCAACGACAAGAGATGCAAAGTAGGAGTGCTTCTAACACCAAGCAGTAAGAGATTCGAGTACGCACTACACTTCAACTTTCGGGCTTCAAAAAATGAAACAGAGTATGAATCATTTCTTGCCGACCTGCAGATGGTGAGGAGCCTAGGCATTCGACATCTCCCCATCTACAGCGATCCACAGCTCATTGTGAATCAAATCCTCGAGGAACTCATCGTGAATCAAATCCTCGAGGAATACCAGACAAAAGACCCCAAGATGGAGAAATACCTAGCAAAGTCAAAGGGCTACTTGCCGACCTAAGCAAGTACGAGATTAATCAAGTCTCGAGGTTAGCAAATACCAATGTTGACGCATCTGCATATGAAACCAACTGGCAAAGTCGGTACTAGTGGAGATCATCAATTCTCTACCTATCTTGAAGCCTGACCTCATGGACGTAGAAGCTCAAACCTCTAATATATTATTTAATGATGAGTCAAATATGAATAGAAGGTGTAGGTAGTAGAGTATAACTAGAAAACTTTTCCATCAAACTTTCACAAATATCATTCAACACTCCACGGAATCCACCATACATTTTCCAACATCTACTGTAAATATATTGCAATACAAGAGAATTACAGCCAATGAAATCTGGGAGCTTATGGAATCCACCAAATGTCAATGTCAATAAAAATGTTGATGTCGATAGAAATGTCGACTTGTCGATGGATATTTAATACTTTGCTCATAACTATATTCCCACCCAATGGTCACCTCAAATCCTTTCATGCATCCCTATTTTTATTATAACTGAGAAAGAGAGAAAAAGCTTCAATTACGAAAATTTCATATGCTGTGGTCTCTGGCATTTCTGTTCAAATATAGAAATAATCATAAAGTAAGCCAAAAAAAAAAAAGAACAACATTATCGCCAGCCTATGTGAAGACAATATTTACAAGCTCTGATCTAAATCCTGGAAGGATTTATAGGTTCCTCCACATGTTGATTATACCATCTACAATTGACTTAATACGTCCCCATGGTTTTGATTCACTTGTTGGAAGCTGAGCTTCATTCACTCTTCTATTGTAAATGTTGTCCCTGCAAAATACAAGAATTGCAGGTACATTCCAGTTATCATAATAAATAGACCGGAAAACTTTAAAGTAAAAATGGAAAAGAGCATATGAATAACCACAAAGTTAAAAATCATTTGGGCCTGGTGAAGTATTAGATACATTGGAATAACATGACTGACGCATCTCAAGGAAACCAAAAAGGTATTATTAACAAATTGTTATTATTATTATTATTTTTTGTTAATAATCTGAAAAGGTGTTATTAACAAGAGGAACCATACAAAACAGGGAAGATAAGATATTCCCAAGAGCTCAAAGAGTTCCAAAAGAAGGTTTGGAATTGGTTCGATTTTTATAAAAGAACATAATTACAAAAAATTTTATCAAAGCAAATAACTTAGAGATATCCCAGAACTCTTCCAACTTGGACTCAAACCTTTGAATATTCTCTAATTTCTCTCAAACCGAAACTTCCAAAGGATAGCAAAACTAGCATCCATTATTCTAGCTTGACCAGATTGTTCCAGTTCTAGCTTGACCGAAAAAGGGAGTTCCAGTTAAGAGTTGGAGGATTGCAGCATCTAAATTCATAGGGAAACACCAGCTCAGGCCAAAAGTCTTGAAAATATAACACCAGAAAGCATCAGCGGAGGAACAGAAGAAAATATGTTTGATGTCCTTCCCTCCCTTTTGCACATAATGCACCAGCAGTTGGGAGATGCACCACCTCGGCGTCCTCCCCTTTGTAAATTATCACACGTGCTCAACTTTCTTGGAATAAAAACCCACATGAAAACTTTCACCCTTCTGAGGATTTTGGTCTTCCAAATCAACTTCATAAGGCGTCTTGGAGAGCTTGGGGCTAGGGAACCAACCGTAAACCACCCACTGGTATGAAGGGACCAAATTTTGATAGCCTCGTGATAAGAGAGCTTAATAGAGTTTTAAGGAGTTCGAGAGGGCCGAATCAGAACTCTCCCGGACAGATGGTGTCTGCTGAAGCGGGTTTCCTTGGTCATAGAAATATTGTAGACTTGGGTAGGCATCTTTGAGGTGATATTTTCAAGTGAATGATCTTCCCAAAACCTAATCTTGTCTCCTTTCCCAACTTCATACAAGGTACCAGCTCATCTTTTGCCAACCTCATCTACTTCGAAGTTTCAAAGGGAGAGAATGTTAAATTTTGGGAAGATACTTGGCTTGACGACTCACCCCTCTCTCTCACCTTTCCTGCCTTCTACGGTTTATCCTCCAAAAAAAGGAAAATCAATTGCAGAATGTTGGGTTCCTGAAGTAGCGACTTGGGATCTTGGGTTGAGAAGAAATCTCTTTGACAGGGAGTTGGACAGATGGGCTGCTCTCACAAAGAAGCTAGATGGGGTGGTTTTAGGGCAAGGAAGAAACAAGATTTGGTGGAAGGCTAATAGCACAGGGAGGTCCTCTGTAAAATCTGCTCTCACGGCTATTTCCACCTCTTCCCCTAAGTCAAGTTCGGCCACAGCTTCTATTATCTGGAACTTCAGAGTTCCAAAGAAGGTAAAAGTCTTCCTCCGGGGAACCAACACAGCAAAGAAACTACAGAAGAAACTTCCTTATTGGGCTCTCTCTCTCAATATTTGTGCTTTGTGTTTACATAACTCAGAAGACGTGGATCACTTGTTCTTGCATTGTTCTTTCGCTACTAAGGCATGGAACTACATAGCTTCTCTTTTAGACTTCTCCTTTTGTCTCCCAAGGAACATAGAAGACTTTATTACAGAAGGTTTAGGTGGAATTGCCCTCAAAGGGAAAGCTTATGTCATTTGGAACGGTGCGGCAAGGGCCCTCCTTTGGCTTCTTTGGCGCGAAAGAAATAGTAGGATTTTTGAAGACAAAGTAGTTTTGAAAGATTCTTCCTTCGTGAATATCAAGCATACGACTTCTTGGTGGGCTTCAATACACAAGAAGGTTTTTTGTAATTATAGTTTGTTTTTTATAATGCAAGACTGAAAAGCTGTAATTAGATAGTTTTGAGGGGAGGGTTCTCTCTACCATCCGCCTTTAGGTTGTCTTCCCCCATTTTCGGGTTTCTTGATTGATAATTTACACATCTTTGTTTCTTATCAAAAAAATAAATAAATAAATAAAAATCTTGTCTCCTTTACCCAATTTTAGGCAGAGTACCATTTGAAATTTAGGGGTCTTTAGACCGAACGGAATTCTTAAGGATAGGGATCCAATCTTCCTTTATATAATTGTATTTGCTTGCTATCACCTTCCTCCAAAGAGCCTCAATTTCAGTCATAAAATCTCCAGCCCCAATGAAGTCTATTAATCCCCTTCGATCATTAGCTAAACCGGTAAAAAGAAAAAAAAAAAAACAGAGAATATAGTCTCTCTAGCACTTAAAAGGTCAGGTACTCTCCCTCTTCTTAGAACAAGTCCCCCCCCCCCGCGTAAAACCTCAAATAAACCCCTCCCAACACATCCTAATGTCGTACTATCCTATTACAAAATTAGGGGCCCACAACAAAACACACTCCTACGCTACGTTTCACATACATGTGGTCCTTCTCCTCTATCACAATCCCCTTCTTTTTATTCTACTAAAAGATAACTGCAATGGACAAATGGTCGCAATGCAAAAAAATACTATCGATTCTATCCGTAGGCCAACAAGAATCAGTGACTAGAAAACACTTCAAACAAAATAAGGATGAAACTTCCTGGATAAAGAGGGAAAACCTAGCGAGCATTGACATTTTTAACTACCCCATTCAATCATTCAATTTTAGGCTCTAATTGCTTTCATTACAAGGCTTTGGAAACTTACCAGATTAAGAAGGAAGCATCATTTTCAAGATTGACTTCCAAAAGGATTGTGACGAGTTTAGTTCGGAGTTTTTGGAAGAGATATCATGGAAGAAAGGTTTTGGTTTCTAATGAAGAACAGGGATCTCTAAGGATATGATGCTATTAATTTGCAAGCATCTTGCATTATGAAAGTTCCTTATGATGATCTGAAGATTTGAAGGTGCAGTCATCAAGATCTTGATGCCTTGTTTAGCGTTGATAGTTGCTTTACGCTTTTTCAGTTTGCCCTCTTGAGTTTAAGTTCAGAGGTTGTATTTCAATTATGTTCCACCATTTCTTTGTTTGTTTATGGAATTTACGTTAATTTTTTCATCTCATCAATGAAAAATTCCCTATAAAATAAGTAATAAAAAAAGATACTTGGGACATGTTCGAGACACGTTTTGAAAGATGAAAAATGAATGTAATAAAAAGGCCACTAAGAAAAGAAAAGAGTAATGCACTTGTTGTGTTCTCTTTAGATGTTTACATATATATATATATATATATCGTATTTCTAACGTATCCTGCCCTACTCGTTTATAAATGTGTTGACATGTCATGTCCCGCCTTATACATGTCATGTGCAGGTTCATGGTTCTTAGGTACTGGTACTAATTATTATTATTATTATTATTATTATTATTATTATTATTAGAAACTTAGCAGTGAATTTATCATACAAAATATAAAGATTTGTAAGCTTCATGCTCCAATAATTAATATAGTCTAAAGACCTTAAAATGCCCTGCTACTAGTTATTAATCAAAATATAAAGAACTTAATGGTGAATTTCAATTGAAGTATAGAGATTACATTTTCCTTTGGATATAGAAGGGTAAAGTTTAACTGCAAACCTGTCTAATTCAAGAGAACTATGGACTTGTTGCTCTTTACAATTTGAATCTTCATGCTTCAGATCTTCAGATGGAAAACTACTTTCAAGGTCAACATCAGAAACTACATCTGGTTCATGTTTTAGCATACGACTTTCAGTATAAACATGTTCAGAATTGTCCAAGTCTTTATTTTCATCATCTCGTTTCTTATGAGAATCAGAAGAAACTTCCTCTGGGTCCTCCAAAAGATTCCTTCTCATTGGGAGGACAGAATGGCTAACCTGTGTGCAATTTAAAAAAATCAATTAACTGAAAGACATAACACAAGAGGGCCTCCAACCATCGTCAACATTCATGATCTATGTTCATATATATTTTAAAAAACGATTTAAGAAGTCCATTCAAAATTATTGTCATAATATTGCGTGAGAAAGAAAGCAGTTTCTATCATTTCTAAAATTATTCTGGACAAGAATAAAAATGAAAACTGCTATACTTAACTCACAAAAGAGTTTCCTTGATAAGATTAACCTCAAACTAGGGTTTAACATCAGTTCAGTTCTCTCTGTTTTTGCCTAAACCGGGAACCAAACTAATGTTTTCGATTTTTTTTCTTTCTTTTTTGAAAAAGAAACAAGACTTTTCATTAATCCTAGAAAAGATACAAAAGAGTACAAAAATTTCAAGCCAGCAAAGTGTAGATGAAGGAATAACAAGCAGCAAAATAAGAAAACCACCAACAAAGGAGAGAAGCCCTTAAATCCTACAAGAAAACTACCCCAATGTTACAAATATCTTGCATTAAGTATCCAACAACTCATTTGGAAAGAACACCAACGAGAAGCTTTGGTATTATTGAGCTCAAAACAATCCAACCAAATAGTGATTTTATCTTCATAACAAGAAACAAAAATTTCTTTGAAAAATAAAAAGAAAAAAAAAAGTGCAAGGATACAATTGCCAAATGGGAGAGAAAGAAAGCATAAATATGATACTAACAAAAGGTAATGAAAGCATCCCAATTTAAACAAACATTGTTAAATGAAATAATTTTTTTTTTTTAACAAGATACGAACTTCTCATTGATTAATGAAAAGGAACAAAATGTTCAAAAAATACAAACTCCCAAAGGGAGCGAAAAAAGAAAAAAGACATGTGGCAAAATTGCTGCCAAATAAAATGACATAAAGACCAAACAAAAACTTTCGAATAGAGCCTCCCAAAAGCAATGAACCGCAAAAAGAAGCTTCGGGAACCTTGAACAACAATAACATTGTCGAGGACATCTTTATCATCTGGAAACAACTGTCTAAACTTCTGAGAATATTTGGCCCGAACAATTCTAATACCTTGAGCAAGCTCTCTTCCGCGCTCAACTTGAATCTCCATCTTTCTTATGGAGTGTGCTTCAAAAAAAGAGCCCTTTCTTTGCGAATATTGACAAGCTCTGACTTAAGAAAGGATAAATAAGCATCCAATTGAGAGAGATATAAGTTTGAGATGAATGTGAGGGAGAAACGATGTCTTCTTGAGAAACTTGCAAGGGAAGATCCATGAAGCCAATGAGGACTCAAAAGAAACCGGAAAGAAAACGCCTAAAATGGAATCCATTGTTAAAAGAAATAATTATCAAACAATGAAAAAAAAGAACACTAATGAAAAGATTTAATTTTGGCCAAATGTTAGAGAACGACCCTCTTTGTCGAAGCTAGATCGTTTCCTTATCTCCACAGGATGGTCCAATAGTTTTAAAGAGGTCCGAGCAGAGATTTAATTTTCAAAGCAGAAAAGCTTTTTTTTACTTTGGTTGAAGACTGGTGGTCTAGGCAGCAGATAGAAGGATGGCCAGGCTTTGTTTTCATGGAAAAATTGAAAGGCTCGCTGTTTTAACCAGGAGAACAAGGAGACCTTTGGGAATATTATGGATAGAAAATCAAAAAACATCCTTGTACAAAGCATAGCTGAAATAGACAAGCTGGAAGAGGTGGGATCTTTGACGGCGCAAGAAATCGGCTTAAAACATAATTAACTTAAGTGGTTTTGAAAGAACAGAGATTATGGGCTCAAAATCATAAGTTGTAATGGCTGAAGGAAGGGCAACGTATTGAGTTTCCGGAAGATGCCCAAGGCAGGAGAGACTCCTTCCTTTCTTAAGCTTTTTCCTCATTTTTATGGTCTCTCAACTCTCATCCAGAAAAGGGGAGTCCATAGCTAACTACTGAGTGGCTGAGCAACAAACTTACAATTTGCGTATTGGGATATTGTTTGATAAGAGTTGGCTAGCTGGGCCGTTTTCATGGAGAAGCTGGATGCAGTTCAACTTAGTACGGGTCAGGACAAAATTTGGTGGAAGCTGAACTCAAATGGCTCCTTTTCAACCAGATCTGCCTTCACTTTCGTCACCAAACGTCTAGCCAGACCCCTGTACATTTGGAATTTTAAAATCCCAAGAAAATAAAGTTAATTTAGTCTCTGATGTACAAGTGCGTCAATACAGCAGAGGAACTCCAGAAAATGTCCCAACACTGGGTCCTGTCCTCTTCAGTTTGCTATTTGTGCTACGATGATTGTGAAACCATGTCTCTATTTTAATTATTGCTCCTTTTATTCTTGTTCATTTCTCTTTGAGTTTGTATCTTTGAACAACCTTGTTCCTTTTCATTCATCAATGAAAAGTTCGTACCTTGTTAAAAAAAATGATTGTGAAACCATAGACTACATCTTCTTGCAATGTAATTTTGCTAAGAAAGTGTGGGATTTAATTTTGAATGAATATGGCTTGGCCTTTTGTCTTCCAGAGCATGTTGACTCTTGGCTTTCGAAAAGTATCGGAGAGACCTTGAAAAGAAAGGCTAGACTTTTGTGAAGCTGATGCTACCTTTTGGCTTCGTTTGGAAGGAGTGCAACAAATTAATTCTTTATGACAAAACAAAAATAATAGATTCTTTTTTTAATTCTGTACAGCACGCATCTTGGTAGTACTCAAACCATAAGAAATTCTTTTGTAACTATAACCTCATAATTATTAATGATTGGAAGGCTTCGCTTTTCCGGCATTTGGTTTCCTCTGCCCAGCCCTTAGGTTGATGCCCTTTTTGACGTAATACAATCTTTGTTTCTCATATAAAAAATATTATTTTGGCCAAATCAAGCAGCTCCCTCCAAGCTAAGAACTTGTCCTCGAAGATTCTCTTATTACATTCCAACCATAGATCTAAACTGACTTTTTGTCAAGCCGTGTTGGCAAGTATTCCTTTATACTACTTGTCGCTTTTCCAAATGCTTGGATTCATTAGTAAGGTGGAATCTTTCTTCTCACTCTCATGAAGATGGTGGTTTCTTCTCACTCACTCTCATTCTTGCGAAGTGGGATTGGAAGCTTGGTGTAGAAACTTCAGCATTATGGCATCAGGTTGTGGCCAGCATCTGCATTACATATTGCTTTCTTTGGAAAAAAATGTTGGGTGTCGTAGCCCTTGGTTTATTCAAAAACAGTGGAATAAGGTGAAGAAGTTTTCTTATTTAAAAGTTAAAAATGGTAAGCGTATTCTGTTTTGGCATCATTTGTGGTCGGGTGTCTCTCCTTTGAAGGATAGATTTTCACTTTTATTTCAGGTTGGTTCTTTCCCCTCTGATTAGGTAGTCCTTCTGTCGTTCCAGCATCTCTTCCTCGTAATCAAAATTTGGCTTTATTTCTAGGTTTTTCATCTTTGCTTATCTAATCATCGTCTTCCTCTATATTAGATCCATATCATCCCTCAACTCACGCTTCAAATCCTCTACAAAATTATGCCTTTCTAACTTCAATTGTTCAATAAATGACTCTATTCTAAATTCAATATTTATTTCGTGATCCACTGCTCTGATACCAAGTTGATAGATCTCAAACCACTAGAAATATATTGAAATATAAAATATAGACCCATCCCAATAATTACCAAGTAGTTTGAGGTGCTTGGATGCTCCCCTCTCTTGAGTATTCTTACTCAAGTCTAAACCATACTAAACAATTTCCTAGCCCAATCCTTTCCCACTCACTCTAATTAGAACAAATCTCCCTAACCACTTCCCTAACTAATTACTAATATACCCATTATACTCCAATAATATTTCTAGTTCTATCCTAATAGCATTCCTAGTTTAGTTCTTGTTTTTTAGTTTTAAACTAAGAGACCAAACGAAATCGGAAAATATTTGGTTTTTTCCTTTTCCAAACCAAGGAATCAATATTTTTTAAATTTGAACAAAACCAATCAGTTTGTTCACTTTGTTGATTTTTTTAGCACCCTTGCCCTCAAGCGAAAATATATTTAAAATAGTCCGATCCACCAGTAAATACCTCATTTCATCTCTAATTCCTACAAACATACCAATATTCTGTTTGTTATTGTAATTCTATATTTTCAATGAAATTTTTTATCAATAAAAATAAAATACTCCAATTGTTTGTTTTTACAGACTAACATGTTCAATCATAGCCCCATTTTCCATTTTTAAGAAATATCACTTTGGTGTAAAAACAATGACAGACTAGCAATAGATTTCAACATGAAAATCATGAGATGGCATCTAGATGTCCCATTTCAACCTTGTTGTTACATGCTGTGATACTATTAACAAAGTGAATCAACCAATAAGGTCCCGAACTAGATCAAACTAGCCATACAACTCTCTCAAGAGAACCTTGTAAATTCGATCTCCAAAGTCATACAAATACTTGTTAAGACAGAGATAAAACTTACCTCACTTGAAAGCTCTACATCATCATCAGCAGACAAAGTCTTCTCAGCACAAGAGGAGGACATTCGCCAATCAGATGTTGCTTCCAAACGTTTGTCACCAACATTAGGGGTCTCTGCATCATGAACAACCATCAGATGGGAATGGTTCTAGTTCTTGTTCTTGCACTCAAAGCAACTGTATACTCAATATTCTTAAAGATAAAAGGTGTCTTTCGGGTTTCTATGGTGCGTAATAGAGCTTTTAGGTCTACGTTCGAGGAGGCCCTTTTGCATCCTCCCTTTAGGAATAAAGGAAGATTTTTGTGGTAGGCTTGTTTCTTAGCAATTTTGTAGGGAATTTTGATTAAGCATAATAACAACTTTTAGAGAGGGTGAGAAATCTCTGAAGCAAGTTGATAGAGAAAAGGAATCGGTCGTACAAACGTAATGAAAGAATTAAGGGCAAGAAAGCTGAAATTAGTTATGGTGGGAGTGCACACTTTTTTGTGAGCCCTAATTTTGCATTAGGAGAGTACGGGCTGTACGGGGAGGGGTCGTGTGGTAGGTCTTTGCCCAGGGGAAGCTTTCTTTCTTTATGCTAGTAATTTGTTGACTTAGACTTGTTTTAAGTGTTAGAGAACTTGTTCTTTGTATTTCCTATACGAACTTTTCATTGAGAGATGAAAAGGGACAAAATTGTTCAAAGATACAAACTCTGACCGGAGTGAATAGAAATAAAAAATAAAACTAAAACAAACAAGCTAAGGGAGAGTTATAAATGCCTCCCAATTGGAACAAATCATACTAGGTGAATAGTTGACAAATAAATCCGAAAGAGAACACCAATGAGAAACCTTAAAATTTACTAAATTAAAGCAATCAAACGGAGAACGACACTTCCCTTCGAATACCCGTTGATTCCTCTCGAACCAAATCTCCAAAAGAATAGCCTTAATGGAGTTTACCCATAAAAGCCAAATTTGTGAGGAATATAAAGAACCTTCCAGCAGCTGCACAATATTCTTAGGAACGCCTCTGTCAAACACCCAGCTTATAGAAAATTATTGGAATAAGAGACCCCAGCAAGACCGTGTGAAAGTACACCTAAAGAACAAGTGCTCCTGATTTTCTCCACTGTCCCTACATAGAACACACCAAGAGGGTTGCAATACAAAATCAGGTAGTTTTAGTGCTCCTGATTTCCTTCTTGTTGTTAATGAAATTCCTAAGATAGGTCATTTGAGACCTATAAGTGGTATCATAGCATCAATTCCAGGGATGCCAAGAGGGAGGAGGATGGAGAGTCGAATCGAATGGTTCAAAGGGAAGGTGGGAGAAATCAATGAAGAGCTTAAGAGGTTACCAGAGATTTAAAAGACCTTACCAATGGTACTAGAGGGATTGGGAGTGATAATGAGAAGGCAAGACGATTCTGATCAAACCGCATCAGAGATGATGAAGGATGAGAAGATAAAGAACACAATAACACCGATAGGAGGAGTCGGGGAAAACGAGTGATAGACATAGGGGAGTCATCTGAATTGGGAAGCATCGACTCACCCTTATTTGAAGGCAACAATTCAGATGGATGGTTATTCCAAGCTGAGAGATACTATACCTTCAACAACATCTTTGACGAGGAACGACCGGAGACTGTGATGGTGCATTTGATAGGATATATCGTGGCTGGTACCAATGGTCAGATAATTGGGCTCTATTTCGAAGTTGGACAACATTCCAATGAGCGTTGATCCGGTGTCGAAAATCACAAGACGAAACTCTCTATGAACGATCACAAGCGCTAAAACTAGAGGGAAGTGTGAGGGAATATCAGCAAAACTTCGAAGTTTTTGGAGCCCTCTTACTGCCAGCGAAGAGGAATCTGCATCGTGGAGTCATTGCTAGTATATAAAATTAGGATTATTGAGGCTGGACTTCAGGATCCTTAAAGGAGGGAGGAGGTGGGTAGCAGTAGCTGCGGAAGTATTTCGCGGAGTCATTGCTAGTATATACAATTAGGATTATTGAGGCTGGACTTCAGGATCCATGAAGGAGGTAGGAGGTGGGTAGCAGTAGCTGCGGAAGCATTCAAAGAAATAGAGTATCCTATTTGTTTTATAGATTCTTTTTTTATATATCCAAGAGTGTCCAAGCAAGCTTGTGCGTCTCGACTAATTTCACGGGGCAACCGCCTGACCCAACAACATTTCTAAGGTAGGTGTCCATCATGGGACTTGAACCAATTCCCTCTCAATTAACCCTAGCCCCTTTGGACCAATGAGCCATATCCACCTATGATAATTATTTGCTTTCTAGATTTTAGTTTAGGGTGGCAAAAGTTCTTTAATTGTGTAAACTCAAAGTCCAAGTTTAGAGACCTCGATTCGACAGACAACAAGTCTTTAGTTTAAAGCGGCAAAGTGATCTCGATGGAGCCTTTTCCTCATCTATAGCCGAATAAATCTAAAAAACCGTTCAAAGCTGGCTGCCTATCCCTCTAATTTGCTTGATTTGATTCCATTTAAGAGTAGTTCAAATTTTCTAGGTCGTCGAAAGAGGGTATACATCCTTTTTCTCATGATACTTGTTAGAGTATATATATTAGTATATTTTATATTCTTGTATTAATTTGTCATTTACCTTCTCCTTGTAGGATTAGGTCAACCTTGTATATTTGTATATATAGACTTTAATAATGAGAATAATTCATATTGGATTCTCTCTAACCTTAGTTTCTACATGGTATCAAAGCCCTAGGTTTCTTCTAAAATTTTTGAACTTAGGTTTTTGTTCATTGGTATCCAACTCAACTCACTACTACCGCTGCCGCCGCCGCCGTCGCCACTATCGTTGTCGCCGTCATTTGCTGATTCGCCAATGCTGTTGTTTTCGTTTGCTGTTCGTGGGTTTAGTCTCGTCGTCCTTCACGCTTCAGTCGCCGCCCCGTCACCATCGTCGTGCGCTTGCATCACCACCATTCGCCGCCCGTCGCCTTCGTCGTGCGCTTCCGTCACCGCCCGTCACCTTCGCCCCTCTGGTTGTCATGGGTTAGCAGTTAGGGTTTCTGGTTTCAGAAAATACCCTGTTCAGTTCAAGAGGTTCGGTTCAACCAGTTTGGTTCAAGCGGTCCGATTCAGCCGGTTTGGTTCAAGCGGTTCGATTCAATCGATCCGATTCCAACAGTTTTCATCTGTTTTGTTTGGTTCTGTTCGGGTGATTTGGTCTAGTTTTGTTCAAATAAGTTTGTTTGTTTGTTATGGCTGAGAAGAAATCAATCGTAACTTTTGAGGTGATCCTAATGATATCGAAAATCACAGAACATAAGTTGAATGGATCTATTCTTCATGGAAAATCAATGTTCGTCTTTATTTGCGAAGTATTGATATGGATGATCACATAACTGAGAATCCTCGTAAGGATGAGAGCAAGAAAGCTTGGTTGCGGGATGATGCTCAACTGGTTCTGCAGATCAGGAATTCGATCGAGGGTGACATTATTGGCTTGGTCAATGAGTGTAAGTGTGTTAAAGAGTTGCTTAAACACTTAGAATTCCTTTATTCTGGAAAAGGAAATGTTAGTCGAATATTTGAAATCTGCAAGCACTTCTACCAACCTTAGTTTGGTGACCAATCACTTACAAATTACTTTATGGAACACAAAAGAATTTATGCAGAGTTTAATGCATTACTCCCAGATAGTAATGAAGCAAAAGCTCGGCCTGCCCAACGGAAACAACTAGTGGTTATTAGTTTTCTTCTTGGTCTTCCACCTAGATTTGATGTAATTACTTTCTGGTTCGAAAATTCCACCTTTAGAGGAGGCATACACTCGAGTACTTCGCGTTGAGAAGTCACAACTCGTCTTGTCATCTCAGTCTAATAGTGTTTTGGTTGGACGTAGTACAAATGCAAACTGAAGTAATACCTACCAAGGGACTTCCACGACTTCGAACGCTCAACGTTGGAATTCTAGTGCTCTAAAATCAAATTCATGAGATATCATTATGTGCAATTATTGTCATAAGTCTGGTCATACAAAACGAGAAGGTAGAAAGTTGTTGAATAAAGGTCAGAAAACACAGCCTGCCTATGTTGCATCTACGCCTAATAATGCTGGCAAGTTAGTTACAATTCCTGCGGAAGAGTTTGCTAAGTTCCAACAGTATCAAGAGTCATTGACGGCATCGTCCTCTAATCTGAGTACTGCCATCGCTGAGTCAAGTAACACCCGTAAATGTCGTATTTCCTCCACGTCAAAATGGGTCATTGACTCTGGTGCGACAAATCATATGTCAGGTAACCCTAACTTATTTGCTAACTTCTCCACATCTACATCTTTGTCTGATGTTACCATAGCAGATGGCACCACTTCTCCTGTTCTTGGCTCTAGCACAGTTCATCTTTCCAAATCTCTTTCATTAACATCTGTCTTAAATTTACCACAATTTTCTTTTAATTTGATCTCTGTTAGTAAACTCACTCGTGATCTCAATTGTTGTGTCTTATTCTTCCTCGGTTATTGCTTATTTCAGGATCTTACGACGAAGAAGACTATTGATAAAGGGCGTGAATCCAATGGCTTTGATACACAGATACCTACAGCTACCATTTGCACTCGAGTACCCTCTCCTTTCCAAGAACATTATCGTTTGGGTCATCCATCTCTCTTCATATTGAAGAGTCTTCGTCCTCAATTTCATAGTTTGCATTCTTTAGATTGTGAGTCATATCAATTTGTTAAGTTTCATCGTTTTAGTTCGTATCCTAGAGTCAATAAACGAGCTACTACTCTTTTTGAATTAGTTCATTCTGATGTTTAGGGTCCTTGTCTTATTGAGTCCAAAGGTGGGTTTCGGTATTTTGTTACCTTTGTCGATGATTTTTCCCGTGTAACTTGGTTATATTTAATGAAACATCGTTCTAAGTTACTTTCTCATTTTCGTAACTTTCATGCTGAAGTTCGAACACAATTTGGTGGCTTTCTTAAAGTTCTACGAAGTGATAATGCTAAAGAATATTTTTCTGGAGCTCTTGGCTCCTATTTGAGTGAATATGGTATTCTTCACCAATCCTTTTGTGTCGATACTCCGTCTCAAAATGGAGTTGCAAAAAGAAAAAATAGACATCTTCTCGAA